AGCAATTAAGAGTCAACCACATTGCTGTGTCTGGAGTCACATGTAGGCCAGACTAGTTAATGATTGCAGATTTCCTCCCTAAAGAGCACTGGTGAACCAGCTGGCTATTTATGACAATTGACAATGGTTACATAATTGCCATTGGGCTGGCTTTTAATTCCAGATTTCATTTATGTCAAATTTAGCCATTTGCCGTTGTAGGATTCGCCCCCATGTTGCCAGAATATTAGCCTGGGCATCTGGGTTACTTGTCCAATGACTTTACCACTACACTGCTGTCTTCCCTCGATCTTGCTGCATATGTTATGATTGCTGAAACTTGTACACAGTGGAATGATATTTCCATGTAAGAATTAGCCGGCCAGTCATTTCCAGAAATCAAAAATCCGAATTTGCAGACGATGCAGAATTTTAACAGGCGATAATAATTCCTCAGAGGAAGGGTCACCGGACCCAAAACATTAACTCTGTTTTTTCCTTCACAAATGCTGGGCTTTTCCAGCAACTTTGTTTTTGTTCCTGATTTACAGCATCCGCAGTTCTTTCGGTTTTTAGATAATAATTAGTTGCCTTAAAGTAAAACACGTGACCAAGATTTTGCAATGATCAGAATGTTTGAATTTCTGTGTCCCTGCTCTGCTGATTTTAGGTGCGGTCACACTTGCAATCTTGATACATCTGTCAAGGTGGAATTCAAACCTATATCGCCAGAACAATAACCTTGGGTCCTGGATTGCTAATTCAATGACATTACGACTACATCATTACCTTCCCTTATGTCTGTTCTAGATACCTTCTGGAATTATTTCCAAAACAGATGAGATTTCTAATAGATATTAGATGTCTACTATCTATATCTTTGGTACCTTTGCAGTGACTAAACTTTATTTAGCCTTGCTTTTATTTTTGCATCTTCTCCTTTTTACCTTGTGATTCTCTTAGGTGTTTTAGTTTAAAGAAATGTACATTCAAAAATGTACAAAAAAAGATTGCAGACTGGATTTGATATTCCAGAAAATTCTGTCATCTCCCACACCCGACAGGAATTCCCTATTAACTGGAATTTTTGATATTATGGTTACTTGCTAAAAGCCAGACACTTTGTGTTCAATTTAATTTATGAAGAAAACTAGCAATAGCAACAGATTAAATACATGAAATGCTAATAGCCTCAGGTAGACAATGTTTTATATTAGAATGGGAGATGGACAGATGTTATAAAAGCGTATGTAAAATTCATTCACAGGATGTGGGCATCGTGGCTAGGTCAGCATTTATTACTGATGCCTAATTGTCCCAAGGGTGTTAAGAACCAATCACATTGCTGTAGTTTGGAGTCAGTGTAGACCAAACTTTAAGGAGAGCATAACCATTTTACAACAATGGTAACATTTTTGCCTTAAAGTTATCCATTAATTCCCAGATTTTTTTTCATTGAATTCAAATTTCATCATCTGCCGGGATAGAATTCAAATGCACATCACCAGAACAATAACCTTGTCTTGGATTTCCAGTTCAGTGACATTACTACGGCACCACTACTTCCCCTTGTGCCTGTTCTAGACTACGGATGAACTTGAATGGCCAGTTGGCTTTCCTTGTTCCAGTTTTGAGTTCAAGTGTTACATTATTCAACATCTCTGAAAGGAATGGAGAAGAATTCTTTATTCCGTATCAGCTTTGGAAAAAGCTGTTTCTTTTGGTTGTGTGTGAGATTTTGGGGAAAGGCTGGAAGAAGGAATTGTTCCTTTATTGAGATTAATGGCACCTCTATTAATTCATTGATTATATCGTGCCAAGCATTGGCTGCAGTTTAGGACATATATCCTTGACATGATAGGCAAGGTACATTTAAAATTGACCTTTTGGCATAATATTACATTGTTCCTTATGATATTGTCATTGATAATGGAGAAGTGAAACTGGATGGATTCAATAGTCTCTGTGATTAATGTATTTAAATATTACTTAAATCAAGTGTTCATCAATTTCATGTCTTAGTTTGAAAGATTTTAAAATATCACTCAGAAGTATTACTGGCCTGATATAAAAATAAATGCACTTTTGTAAATAGTACATCAATTTCAGTTGTTCAGGCCTTTCTATGGCTGAAGCCCTCAATTCTAATCATGTTTTGTCTTATTAATGTTTCTATAAATGTTATTTAACAGATTATATTGCCATTGTTTATCGTTATGTATTTCCATATTGATATTAATTCAAACATTAATTCAGATTGCATTCTTATGTAGCTGTTAACTTTGGCTCAGTGGTCTTATGTTTGCCTCTGAATCAGATCATTGGTTCAAACCACAGAGACTTGACCATCTTCTTCTTTGTCCTTAACTGCAGAGCTGAGAGAGTGTTGTCCTCTTGTAGCTGCGATTTTTCAGAGAAACAATTAAAACAAGGTCTCTTTTACTTTCTCACATGGTTATAAAGTACTATTGGGTGTCATCCCTGGATGTGCAATTGCAAAGTTTTTCTCCTAGTTGTAAATGATTATGTTTAAGAACTGCAGTTCCTACTATCTCTGATACAATTTTAACTCCACTGCGAAGCCTCTTCTAAGGATGCCTACCCTGAAGAAGTTACCCTCCTCCCTCCGGACAAACCTCAGGAGATCTCTCTCCCACTGCAACTCCTCTATCTATCTTCTACCCGCCTCCCCCTCTCTCCCAATTTATTTCAGAACCCCCTTCCCCTCCCCCATTTCTGAAGAAGGGTCTAGGCCCGAAACGTCAGCTTTCCTGCTCCTATGATGCTGCTTGGCCTGCTGTGTTCATCCAGCCCTGCACCTTGTTATCTCACATTTTAGGGTAGTTCATTTTTACATTAGAATGTAGAAACGTGACCTGGTCTGCATTTCAAGTGAATTATGATTAATCTACATCTTAACTTCATCTAACCACAAAATCTAGGGTCAGTGTTTAAATTTTTGATTTGAGTTTCAAATTCCTACCACCTTTTTTATTTGTTTTGCATAACTTCACACACTTTCCTCTTTGTGGAGAATAGTGTGGAAGTGTTGGAAGGATTTGTAGGCTATCAATCTGTTTGAACCACATCATGAACATTCCTTCTGTGGCCATCATGCCCTGGGGTGGAACACGAACCTGAACTGTTGTGATTCAGAGGCGAAATATTGCCAGTTAACTCAACTCCTATCCTTTGTGGGAAGAAGTGCATTCTGATATTAGACTTAAACGGCTTTGCTCTAATTTTAAAATCACACCACCTTCTTTTAGTTGAATCCATCAGTTTCTCTCTCTCTCTACTCTTTCAAATAATTAAATCACAAATACTTTAATTAGATTACCATTTAATCTTATAGGTATTTTCAATCAACCTGTTTAAGCATGTTATGACACATCTCTGAAACAGGTAGAACTTGAATCCTGGCCTTCTGGTTTGAAGGTAGGAATGCCATTACTGTGCCAAAAGAGGCCCACTCCCTTTTGTTGACTTTAGGGGTACATGGTCACAGTTACCTAATATAGGCAGTTGATGATTTATTGCAATTATCTAATAGATTACTGAGTTTGTGAGGAAGTAGCAGTTTAGGGATGATGCATTATAAAGAAAGTATACATGACAATTGGGATGGTTCACTGATATCAGAGGACAAACAGGTCGTCGGCATGAAATGTTTTGATCTCATTAAAGTGGTGGGGGCAGCATCCTGCTCACTAGCCGATGTGTTCAGGAACTCTTCCCTTGGTCTTCCTCCTCTCCTTCTGTCTGCCTGCTGAGGACTGCTCCCAAGGGCCATCCAATGAGAACTGCTGTGTACAAGGTCTGCTTGATGAGAGCTCCTACTGCCTTGAGTCTCCTCTATTCTTGGTCCCTGCACCAATCTTCCAGCACAGATTTGACCTAGCTTCGGCACATTTACTCAAGCACAGAATCTGGCTCCAGTGCGGTTATTCTAGCGCAGAATTAGCCTAGGCCCTACAGGTTTCCTCTGGCACCTCTTGTCCTGAGTACTCCTCTCTGAGCCTGGCATTTAGTGTTACATCATATTTTTAGGGGCAGGTATCTTACACTGTGTCAATTAATTGTCTGAACATTTTGGCTAGTGGCCTTGCCTGGGACTGCCACTTGTGTTATTGGGAAATCATTGTTCCCTTGCCCACTTCCATCTGAGGGTTAGTTTACCATTCTTTCTGAGAACAAATACTTCTTATTTTTGAATAATAGGGTACGTTTGGCGCCTGATAAATTGTTGACACGAGTTCAATGCGCATTGTGACCTCTCTGATTTTCATAATTGTTCCCTTTGTTTTCATATGCCAGAATTTCGGAATGTTAAGTGCTGCTGTAATAGCTTTTAAATGAAACCTCATGCTACACAGTAGATAATAGGAAACATCAGTCTTAAAGAGACCCCAATATTCAACATCTTAATCTTATAGATACTTTTAATCAACCTGTTCAGATGTGTTATGGCACACCTTTAGGGTCAGTGTGACTTGAATCCAGACCTTCTGGCTTATAGATAAAGTCACTTACACTGCACAACTATAGCCACTTTCCTTTACCTTGTGTAACTGGAAATGAGCTGTATGTGTAATCTGTCCTCCTTTAACTCTTAGTCTTTTGTCATTCTGGAGAACCTGCACTACAGATGGAGTCCAATTAGTGCCGTGCACAGCAGTAACATACCTGTCATTTCAGCTGTTTAAAATAGCAAGACTTACCTTAATCTTTTGCAATAGAAATATAATGAGAACAACTTTAATTGGAATTTTATATTTTAACTGTTGTACGTTGCACTGACCTTAAATGATATGCGCACAACAGTCATTAATAAGTGATTGAAATCAAAGAGGTTTCAGAACAGAATGAGTTTATTGGGACCAATGTGCCGATCCATGTGCTGGATCTGGATCAGAGATATCTATTTAATCCAATTTCCCCAGTTTTTCCCAGCATAACCTTTTTCCTTATGATGTTACTTTTATCTTGAATTAAATTCAGTGACAATAAAAAATACTTCAATTTAAGGTTATTTGAATCAGCATAGCCCTTTGCAAAAATGGAACTGTTAGGATGTAGATTATCGCACTAAGGCCAGGCATCTGTACTCAAAAATAAATAAGACCATAATACATAGGAGCAGCCCATTAAGTCTGCTCTTCCTTTCAATGAGATCATGGCTGATTTGATAATCCTCAGTTCCACTTTTCTGCCTTTTTCCCCAAAGTGTTTGAGTCCCTAATTGATTAAGAATCTGACTATCTCAGCCTTGAATATACTGGAAGATTTAATGCTGTTGCTAGTGTCTTGTTACAAAATATCTTAGATTTGAGAGTTGGGAATGGCAGTGGTAAAATCTTTTGGGACGTTTTTAAAATGAAATCCATTTCTTGCCAGAGTAGTAAAAGCCAGGTGAAATTCAGCAATTGTATGACAGTAGATCACTTGTACAACTACAGTTAACAGTATGTTTATCACTCATCACAGGTCACCTAACTCTCTCTGAACATAAAATTATGGAATGTTTAAAGCACTGAAGGAGGCTATTCTACCTGTTATAACCATGCTGGCTCTCTGCAGGAACAATTCACCTGGTCCCCTTCCCCTGCCTTTTCCTTTTCATGTAATGATCCAGTTCCATTTTTTTCTCATCTGGTCACCATTATTTTTTCTGCCAAATACTTAAATTGGTTCCCTTTGTTTCTTGACCTTCCCCAATGGGAAAAATTTCTCCCTGTCTGCTGTCCAAGGCCTGCAAGAATGCCTTTATTCAATCTCCTCTCAACCTTCCCTTCTTCTCACATAATATTCCCAGTGTCTCCAATCTATCTGTGTAACCAGAAAGTGTTTCTTTATCTAGTTCTTAACTTTCAAGTATTTTAGTTTCATTGTTTTGAAAAACAGCAAGCTGATGTTGGTGACCAGTGTGATAGCAGATATTGGATTCAACAATTTAACCAGATATTGTCATTCACTCAGATCAGCATCGGTAATCCAGGCAAAAATAGCTGATATTTGGCTTTCTTGGACTGCAATTTAGTAAATAGCTCTGAGGTGATTGCTGCTGTATTGGACTATTGATTAAGAACGTAAGAAATAGGAGCAGGAGTAGGCCGTCTGGCCCACCAAGCCTGCTCTGCCATTCAATAAGTTCATGGTTTATCTTTTTGAGGACTCAGCTCCACTTACTCACCTGCTCACCATAGCCCTTAATTCCTTTCCTATTCAAAAATCTATCTTTGCCTTAAAAACATTCAGCGAGGTGGCTTCAACTGCTTCACTGGTCAGGGAATTCTACAGATTCACAGCCTTTTGGGTGAAGAAGTTCCTCCTCAACTCAGTCCTAAATCCCTAAGGCACACCAGTAGCCATTGATCGCCAACCAGAAAAATACCCATTTATCCCCACTCTTTACTTTCTGTTACTGAACCAATCTTCTATCCATTCTAATACATTATTCATAACGCTGTGCACCTTTATCTTATGCAGCAACCTACAGAGGGAAGCAGCACTGATGATATCATCAATATGTCAGAGAAAGAGTTATGGGTGGGGGCCGGAATGAAACAAGTAATGTTCCACGTACCGCACAAAGAGACAGGCATAACTGGGGCCCTGTGCAGGTACCTCTGACCTGAAGGAAATGAGAGGAGTTAAAAGACAATTTGTTGAGGGTGAGGACGTGCTTAGCCAAGCGGAGGAGGGTAGTGGTGGGTGGAGATGGTTCAGGTCTTTGCTCCAGGAAGAAGCGGAAAGCCCTAAGACCTTCCTGCTGGAGAATGGGCATGTAAAGGGATTACACGTCCATGGTAAATGGGAGGTGGCTGGAGCCTGCAAAATAGAAATTTTGAAATCTGTGTAAAGCATCAGAGGAATCACGAATGTACATGGACAGGGATTCTCAGGGGAGAGAAGACTGAGTTAAGGTAGGCAGAGATGAGTTCTGTGTGGCAAAAGCAGGCTGAAACAATGGGTCTGCCCGGATAGTCCTGTTTGTGGATTTTTGGAAGAAAGTAGAAGCGAGCTGTGCGGGGCTGGGGATTATCAGCTTGGAGGCAGTGGGAGGTAGGTCACCAGATGCCAGTCTGGTGTCATATCTCGGGCAGATCAAGTGAGGAAGGCATATTTCCTTCCCCAAAGGACATTAGTGAATTAAGTGAGTTTTACAACAATTAATGACTGTTTCATGTCTACCCAACTGGCTTTCAGTTATAGATTGATTAGATGAATTTAAATTCCTGTTGCTATGGTGGAATTTGAATCTGTATCCCCAGAACATTAGCATTACTAGCCCAGTGACAATTACCACTTTGCCACCGTCTCCCTTTCACCAAAATAATTTCCTGTCATTTCATTTTGGTAATACCGTAATCATCAATTTAGTGTAGCATAGAAACACTTCGTAAATAAGTTACTGTTTTCAATGGAGGATCTTTCTATGTTAAATTTCTGTGCCCAATTAATAAGTACCTCTTTTCCTCCAGAATGTGCTACAAGCGTATAGAGCACTTGCGAGATCGTCAAGAAACAGTAAAACGACTGATGACAGCATTGAAAAGCAAGCAATCACAAGGTGACAACGAAGTTGACACAGATGAAGAAGAAGAATTTCAGGAATTCCTTTCAGGTGATTGGCGTGCAAAGGGAGCCTTACTTTAGTACTCTGGAAATTTCAGTCTCTGATTTGAAGGAAGTTTTGTGCAAAGCTTGAAGAACATTTGACTGAAACTGGCATCTTATTGTTTATATCACGAGAACTGGGAAATGAATGAGAACAACAGCAAGTTAACATTTCGGAGAAAGTATTCCTTTTTTTAAACCCGTAAATAAAACCCTTTTGGAGTGTCTGTACTTTGGTTGTTGGATTAAAATTAACTCATTAAGATGAATCCAAGTTTTTCTTTTCAGATTATTTTGTTTAGAGATTTTTGGACATTATGAAATTGTAAATTGTAATGATACTTTGTCCTGGGACTGTCCCTCGAGAGCAAGTAATGGGCCTTGAGCTGACTCAGCAGTCCAATGTTGGAGCTGCACAACCTACCACAGTTGTTTGAGGAATGGGTCGGTGGGATGCTTGGCCTATACATTGTGTCGTTATAACCACCCATATCAATGGAAACCTTTTTAAATAAATTGGGACTGAGTGTGTAATGGGAGAATTTAATTTTAGACCTTAGCACATCCATTTTAGAAGTAGCATTATGTTTACAGTTTTATAATGTTGTGCATGCTTACATGGGTCGAATTTCTCATTTCAGTCTTCAATATGGAATATACTTTGAAAGGCGGAGGTAAACAAAAGGTTGAAATTGTAGCAGCCTCTTTTTGCGTGCAGAGATTTTTTTAAAAAAAGGGTATACAATTACTTTGTTTACTCTTTCCAAGGATTTTGCACTTCTTCCCCTCCAACCACAGACAAGTCACTTGTGATGCATTTTTAACAAGATACGTGACTCACTGAGAGACCATGACCTCTTTCTGTCAGCTCCTCTGTATTTTTGCTTCAATGCATTTTTTGATCTGGCTGCTTGTTTGAATCATGGCAAAAGTTTACCCAGCTGAAACTAAGCTACCCTGTTCCAGGCAAGTCTGTTCTACTTAATGAGGAAAGGACATTGGTTTGACATGTCTGAATTTATTTTAAGTAACAAAGAGAGCCTTCTATTGCTATCAACTGATTTTAAATCAAATAAGTATAAATTCTACAACTGCAATTGCAAACAACAAAATAAATGTTGACCTTGAGATGTAGGAGCAGAAGTAGGCCATTCAGCCTATTGAGTGTGCTGTGCCATTCAGTGAGATCATTGTTGCTCTGATAATTCTCAACTCCACTCGCTTGCCTTCTCCTCATAATCCTTGATTCTCTTACTGATTTAAAATCTTTAGTCTTGATTATACATAATAACTCAGCTTCTACAACCCTCTCCAGTGAAGAATTCCACAGATTCAGTACCCTCTGAAAGAAGAAATTCAACTTCATTTCTGTGAAATTAGCAACCTCTTAATCTGAAATTATGGTTTCTGATCCTACATTCTTCTGCAACGGGAAATAACCTCTAACCTGTCAAGCCCCTAAGAATGTTGTATGCTTCAACGAGCATTCATTCTTCTAAATTCCAGTGGAATTCCCGACCTGAAATGTCAGCCCTCCTGCTCGTCTGCTGCCTGGCCTGCTGTGTTCCTCCAGCTCCACACTGTGTTATCCCAGATTATATGGACAGTGTATTACTACATTTATTATTTAAAAGTTATACTTCTAGCTCTTTAATGTGTTTTCAATATGCAAAACTGAACTTTAGAATTAAATAAGTAAGGATTTGCAGAAGAATTTCTTTGAAAGCAGCTTTGCATTGTTTTATAAATGAAACTGCAGCTTGTACATAAAAGTAAAAATATTAAACATGCCTTCAAACATAGATGCCTTGTGACACATTCAGTTCAAAGCATGCAGCAAAGTTATTCTCAAGCCTCCTTAAGCCATTTGAATCTTTTGGAAGTTGTGACATGCTTTTGGAAACAAGTCTTCAGCAACAGTATTGCAGTGAGTTAACACCTTGTGGATCCCAGGTTCAGATTCAGTCATTATTGAAAGGACAGTTCCACATTTTTCTGAAAGTCTTCTTGGGTACAGGGACTGTAGCCCATCAATTTGGAATCAATGTGTGTCAAATATTTTTGCTTTGTCCAGAAGCCACCCAAGTGTGAGGTGCAGGGGAGACATTTAATATTTGTAAACTGCGTGTGTTTCACAGGCTATGCATTTGAAAACTGGTTTGTGGCTGCGAGGAGAATTAGGAAATTAGAGAGGGAAGATCCTTGTACTTTAAAATTACAGAGCTTCAGAGTGTACAGCACAGATACATTAGGATATTGTCTAATAATTAAAAAAACAAATTTGAAGGAAGATTGGAATATTTAGTTTGTATTGAAATATGATATAGGTGATGATGCACATATGAGGCAGGGTAGATAGAAGCTGGCTCCTTCCAGTTTATGGATTTAAAGCAAAGACAGTGGGTACAGATTCAGTGAAAGAAGTGTGGAACACAGCAAGATAAACTTCATTGTAAATTTGAGAAGATTCTAAAATGAGAAAGGTGCAGAGACAGACAGAGTGAGACAACTGCAAAGAATAGAACCAAAGTAACTGATAATTCTGGTGGGATAACAAAGAACACAGGGCACAGAAAGCCAGAATCAAAGAAAACCAGTATTTGAGAGAGGGCATGAGATAACAAGGTGTAGAGTTGGATGAACACAGCAGGCCAAGCAGCATCAGAGGAGCAAGAAAGCTGACGTTTGGGGTCTAGACCCTTCTTCAGAAAATGAAGAAATTTTTCTGAAGAAGGGTCTAGACCCGAAACATCAGCTTTCCTGTTCCTCTGATGCTGCTTGGCCTGCTGTGTTCATCCAGCTCTACACCTTGTTATGTCAGATTCTCCAGCATTGTCAGTTCCTACTATCTTTGAGAGAGGGCATAGTGTGATAGTAGGGAATTGCCAATAAAGAGCAGAGCAAATGACATTTATAAATGAGACCAAGATTTTTGAATTTCATACATTGCGCCATGGGCCAGTGTGGATTGATGAGGGCAGGGTGAAGTGTAAGTTTACATTACGTGCTCAAGTCCTAAAGTGGATCTTGAGCCCACAACTTTTGAATTGAGGCATGAGTGTTGCAAAAAGATTTGAACTGAAATTTGATTAAAGACTTTGCAGGTTTCTGTATGTTGCCAAGCACTGACATTGTATTATAAAATTCAGTGTTTCTATCATACATGAGGATGTTGTTGGTAACATGAATATTGGTTGGCTTACTGTAGCTGCTATTGAGAGGGTTGGGGGTGGCTGCTTAAATCTCTGTTTCATGTGAAAACGCTCTGATAATGAACATTATGGCAAAGTTAAAGTCACAGGCTAGTATAATTCATCAATTATTTTGCACGTGAAACAAAATTCTGTAGGAATTAAAATGCAATTTAAAGCCAAAAGTGTCTTCAGTACAATGTCAGATGATGCTATCAATAGGAATCAAATTAAATGGCTGGAAAATAAATATTAACAAAATGAGGTCAATCAGAATTCTTCAGATATTATTATTATTTGGGTGACAGCCATGACTCAGTGGCAGCACTCTCATTTTTGGAACAGCAAGTTGCATGTTTAAGTTTCACTCCAGAAAATTGAGCACATAATTTAAGCTGACAGTCAGAGATGAGGGAATGCTGCTATTTTGAGGCCTTTCTGCTCTCAGGCAGAAGTAAAAGATTCCATTGAACTATTCTAAAGTCTGGAAGGGAAGATCTTCTTAAGAGCCTTGTTAATATTTATCCCTCATACAGTATCACTAAAACAGATTATCTGTTATCACCACAATCCTGGCATGGAAATATATTGCTGTTCCTTTACTGTCAGAGTCAAAATCCCTTCCTCATGGCATTGTGAGTGTTTCTTTTAAATTCATTTATGGGATGAGAGCGTCACTAGCTAAGCTAGCATTTATTCACCTCGCTGAATGTGTTTAAGGCAAGGCTAGATAAATTTTTGAACAGTACAGGAATTAAGGGTTATGGTGTGCGGGTGGTTAAGTGGAGCTGAGTCTCAAAAAGATCAGCCACGATCTTATTGAATAGCGGGGCAGGCTCGAGGGGCCGGATGGCCTACTCCTGCTCCTAGTTCTTATGTTCTTATGGCCCATCCGTAATTGCCCAAAGGGCAGTTAAGAGTTAACTACATTGCTGTGCATCTAGAGTCGCGTGTAGGCAGGTAAAGATTTCCTTCCCTAAAGGACATTAGTGAACCTGATGGATTTTTCCAACAATCGACAATGGAGTCATGGGCATCATTAGACTCTTAATTCCAGATTTTTATTTTAATGACTTCAAATTCTACCATCTGTCGTGGCAGGATTTCCAGGGCATTTGCTGGGTCTCTGGATTAACAGTCTAGTTTTTTTTTATTCGTTCAGGCGATGTGGGCATCAATTTTAGGCAGCATTTATTGCCTATCCCTAATTGTCCAGAGGATAGTTGAGAGTCAATCACATTGCTGTGGGTCTGCAGTGACATGTAGGCCAGGTAAGGATAGCAGTTTCACCTTCAGAGTAATGACCTGTTCTTAGATATTAATTCCAGCAGTGAATGCCTGTACAATTGTTTACAGATTTATTTTTACATATTCCCATTCCACAACATTTCTTTAGGTTGCTGCACCATTTCATACATAACATGCATTCATACATAGAGTAGGAACAGAAGTAGGCCATTCGGCTCTTTGAGCCTGCCCTGCCATTCAGTATGATATTGGCTGATCATCCAAATCAGTACCCTATCCCCACTTTCTCCCATACCCTTGATCCCTTTAGTCCTAAGAACAATATCTAACTCCTTGAAAACATTCAATGTTTTGGTCTCGACTGCTCAGTGAATATGTCTTTATTGATCTAGTCTATCTTGAAGTACCAGCTGTACCATGCTGAGAAATCGGCCTGGTAAATCTTCATTGAATTCCCCATGTTGACAGAACATCCTTCCAACTAAGGAGACCAATACTGCACACCCTACTCTAGATGGAGTCTCGTCAACTTGTACAATTGCAGCAAATCATCCCTACTACCTTATTTGAATTCTCTGCCTGAAGGTCAACATACCATTTGTCTTCACCACCTGTTGCACTGGCATGCTTGCTTTTAGTGACTGCTGTATAAGGATACCTAGATCTCGTTGCACTTTCCCCTTTCCTAGACTATTGCAATTCAATTGATGTATCATACTGTCTTTGCTACCAAAATAGATAACCACACATTTGTCCACATACACTTCATCTGCCATGCATTTGCCAGCTTATTCAACTGGTCCACATCCAAAGAATTTTGGAAGATGGCA